CCTGTCTTTGCTTTCGTTTCTGCTCCTTAGCGCGTGGCCTGCGCCGCCTTCCCCTCCTGGCAGCAGCAGCAGCAGCAGCAGCAGCATCGTCAGGAGCAGCAGCTGTAGGCGAGGCCCCAGACGGTGCTGCAGCAGAAGATGCAGAGGGAGAGGCAGAGATAGAAGCAGCAATATGAGGGCTTCCTGCGAGCTCGTCATGGCTGCTGCTGCTGCTGCTGCTGCTGCTGTTGCTGCTAATCGCGCTGCTGCTGCTGTAAGTGCTGCTGCTGCTGGCGCTGCTATTGGCAGTGGGAACTGGGAGTTCTTCCGGCCCTGAATTGTCTCCTGCTGCGGTTGCTGCAGTTGCTGCTGCAGCAGCAGCAGCAACTGCAGCTACTGTGGCTGCAGCAGCAGTGTCAGCTGCAGCAACCGGTGCTGCAGCGATACACATTTCACCACTAGAGGTGTTTTCCTGCTCATTAACATTGTGGAGCCCCTGCTGCTTCTGCCGCTGCTGTTGCTGCTGCTGTTGCTGTTGCTGTTGCTGCTGTTGCTGCTGCCGGGGAGAGGGTTTGACGGGTCGGCGGCGGCTTTTAACATGTGGGGTGTATGCACAGCTGGAGGGGGAGAGCTGCTGTTGCTGCTGCTGCTGCTGTTGCTGTTGCTGCGGCTGCTGGTGCTTCTGTTTCTGGTGTTGCTGCTCATCGGTGTTGCTGCTGCTGCTGCTGCAGCCGCTGCCTGCCATTGGGCGACGGAGGCGTTGCTGCAGCAGCAGCAGCAGCAGAAGACAAAAGGGAGGCGTTTACTCAACACAGTCAAAATTATATGAATAAGAGTGAGAAGCCCGCAGCAGGCTGCAGCCGCTGTAGCTGCTGCTGCTGTTGCTGTTGTTCCTGCTGCTGCTGCTGCCGATAAAGGGTTCTATGATCTTCCGCTGCAGCCCTGCTGCAGTGGAGGTGTTGGTGTTGTTTCTGAGAGGTAAAAAGCAATTAAATAAATTAATAAAAATAATTTAGGCCAAAGAACAAAGCAAAAAACACCAGATATACGAACATATACACCACGGCTCACTGCTGCTGCTGCTGCTGCTGCCGCTGCTGCTGCTGCAGTGCTGCCCTGGGCCTTGCAGCACGTTGTCCAGCAGCTAAAGCTGAAAACAATTCATTTCCTTGTTACTTATATAAAATTCTGTTTATATATATTATGTTCTTCGATTCTTTCAGAGGTATAGAAGCATAAACAAGCTGCCTATACACCTGAATGCAGCAGCAGCCGACAGGGCGACCACTGGCCCAGAGGGAAGAATAATACAGAGAGAAACTTTATCTTTTTTTTGTTTTTTGATTAAAATGATAATTATTGTAATATTAATAATATTAAATTAATTAATAAAACATTTCACTCTACTTCCCCAGCTTAAATGTTTTCTGCTCTCCATACACCTGCGAAGTTTTTCGTTGTTTGTTCTTCGCGTCAGTTGTATTAGTAAACAAAATTAATTTGGGTGTCTTTATTCTCTTCACAAATATAATATATATGCATATTATATATGTATATTTAAATATATACTATATATAATATATATAAAGGGGACGGAGGGAACGAAAACCAGTATATTTAGGGGTTGACTCTGATATCATTTGTATGCAAGGCATAGTGCTGCAAGAGAGGCATTTAATATATATATAGACATATATATATATATTAATATTATTAATTACCTCTTAATTGTTATTATTGTCTTCTGCTGTTGATGCGGCTGTACAGACACTTCAGCTGGTGCGGTGTTCTCTGCCTGTTAGTTTCCTCTGTTTGTTTGTTTCTGCTGTCTTCTCCCTCTGTCTGTCTTCTCTTTGTCTTCTTTTGTTTATTTGTTGGTGTCTTTGTCTGTCGTGAGTTGGGAGGGCCTGGGCCAGCGCTGCGGCGAGCACGAACTGTGTTACTAGAGTTTAGGATTTAGGGTTTAGGGTTTAGGGTTTAGGGTTTAGGGTTTGGAGTATTAGGGTGTCAGGGTCTACGGTTTTGAGTTTAGAGTTGAGGGGTTTACGGTTTAAGGCTAAGCTGTTTTTTATTTTGTTTTTTGTCTGTTTGCTTTGTTTTTCTTTGCTTTTTTCTTTGTTTGTTTTCGCTGTCCTTTTTATATTTGTTTCGTCTGTCTATCTTTGCTATACATATCCCCATAGATATAATATATATATATATATATATATATATATACATTTACATATCTACATATATATATCATTTATTTTTTGTTTTCTTTGTGCGTTTGCTGAGTGTATTTATTTTGAATATTTATTTTCTCTGTGTTGTCTGCCTTTTTGTTTTTATTATATTATTATTATTTTTCTTTGTTTGTCTCCTTTCCTGTTTATCTTTCTTTGTTTTCTCTTGTTACTCTATTTCTTTTTTTTGTCTTTGTTTGTTTTAACTCTCTCTTTATCTCTCTCTTTCGCTCTCTCTTTATATCTCTCTTTATCTCTTTCTTTATCTGTCTCTTTATCTCTCTCTTTATCTCACTCTTTATCTGTCTCTTTATCTCTCTCTTTATCTCTCTATCTCTTTTCTTTGTTTATTCTTTTGTCTCTCTTTTTTTAATTCCTTATTGCTATATTTTCTTGTCTTTCTTTGTCTTTGTTGTTTCTGCTGCATGCACAGTAGAGAGAGAGTTTATATTTTATTTATTAAGGGCCCCCTTACAGCCCCAGCTGTACATTACTGAACAGTAAATATATTTATTTAATTTAGAAATAAATATATTGTTTTTAATTATAACTCATTTAAATGTATTATTAACAGACCCTCCTCCTCAACTTATATATCAACGACGTCCAAACAAACACCAAAAAAAAGCCGCTGCTCGTTTTTGCTGTTTTCTTCTCTAGAGAACAACGCTGAGTATATATATATATATATATTTGTATATATATATATATATATATATTTGAATATATATATATATAACCATATACCTTTATACATATATATTATATACTATATGCATATAAATATATATATATATATTTATAGTTATATATATATTATATTACCTTATATATATATATAAACATATATATGTACGTATATATTTATATTATACATATATATAAATCACATATGCATATATATATATATATATATGTTATGTATACGTATGTATATTTATACTGAGGGGGGTGTATGAAAAGATTATTGTACAATATATACTTTAATAGATTATTGTATTAATACAATATTATGATGTTTATGCATATAAAGACATGCGCATATATACTCATTTAATATTATTTACAATTATTATACATTTTAAGATATGCATATAGACAAACATTTTACTTTATAGATGTATGTGATGAGATAAAGATATACATATCGACATACACAAACATATATACAAAGAAATATGTAAATATTTATATCCATATACTTGATATATATATATATATATGATAGATGAATATATATATATATATATCAGTGCATTTATATATATGATATTTGTATATATACGTGCTTATATAGATCTTATATAGATGGTTGTATATACATAATATATATATATATATATAACCCACCTTCGTTTACACATATACGCACATACAATGCATTTACGCTCACCATATTTATAAATACTATATATATATATATATTCATATATATATGCATATATGTATAATTATATACACGGATTGATGTGTACAGATGCATCTGTATATATCTGTGTATAAAAGCCTATATTAATGTATATATATACATGTATATAGATATATATGTATATATATACATATAATATATACATATATATATACATATATATACATAGCATATATATATACAATGATGATTCAGCAAAAGATGTGGAGGTGTTGCAGATGGTGCATCGCCGCAAATGTTGAAAAAGACAGAAATATATTTGTTATTAGATAAATAACAAAGGGTGGTTCTTTTGAATTTGACAAGGGGAGGTTTCTTCGTTTTGTACAATTGCTGCTGCTGCTGCTGCGGATGCTGCTGCTGCTGCTGCCGCTCCGGCAGATGCTGCTACTGTTTCTAGTCTAGGGCCGCCTTAGCGATGAATGTCTGAAGGCTCAATGGGAGAGGGAACTCATATCTTTATTTTTAATTTTATTTATTTATAGGCAAAAACGTTTGTTTGTCAATACGAAGTAATGCGTGTGTGCCGCTCGTTTGTTCTCAGGGATTAATAAATCGTGTATTAAAAATATTAGAAAGAAATAATTGTTTCCGTTTGTTTTAAATATAAAATATATTAAAGGGAAATTAATAGCAATAGCCTGCTGTTAGTGGTCAAGATGAACAGCTACTGCTGCTGCTGCTGCTGCCGTACTGCTGCTGCTGCTGCTGTTGCTGCTGGCACAGATCTGCTGCGGTATATGATACCTTGAGAGGCCTGAAGTGTATATAATGACAAAATATGATAAATAAAACGAAATAGTATTTGAATAATATACTTCAGAAACCAAATAGAGAGAAATTAATTAAAGCGACAACGGCAGGATTCGAACCTACGCGGGCAGAACCCAATGCCTTAGCAGGGCACCGCCTTAACCACTCGGCCACGTTGCCGACTGCACTCTGTTTGTCTTGCACTAAAAATCTAAAGTATTATTATTAAGATTATTAATAATATTATTAATATTCTTATTGTCTTCTTCGTCTCCTCATTATTATATATACATATATATATGTTTTTCTATTAAAGCTCGAGCGTTGCATTAAGGGAGTTGCAGTCGCACACAGCTCTCGCTTGCTGCTGCTGCTGCTGCTGCTGCTGTTTATTATAGTGAGTACTTCTTTAGAGATATTAGGGAGGAGGTGGCGAAGACAGAGAAGAAAAGAATAGGAAGAAAGAAATAAGGAGGAAGCAAACAGGGGTCAACGAAGTGAAAGAAACACGTAATGACTAACAGCAGCTTATTAAGCAGACAGAAGAATAGAGACAAATGATAATACTGCTTCTTAATATTATTAAATTAAGATCAAGAGGTGAAATGAACAGAAATCGGCAACGTGGCCGAGTGGTTAAGGCGGTGCCCTGCTAAGGCATTGGGTTCTGCCCGCGTAGGTTCGAATCCTGCCGTTGTCGCTATATACTAATTCTTTCTCTAATTAAACTTAATAAATATTAATATACATTATTTACAGTTCAATCAGAGAAACGCCACTCGTATAGAAATGCGGCAGCATTGCCCCCAAGTAAACATTTAAAAAGACAAAAGGCAACAAATAAATCAAATTCCTCCAAAGCTAAATTGCATTCGTTTTTCACTGCAACAAATCTTCATTTATTCAACAAACTATCTTCCCCCCATGAAAGGCGGAGGGGGGCCCCCCATCGGCATACCCATACCCATGGGGGGGCCTCCCATAGGCATGCCCATGGGGGGCCTCATGGGGGGCGGTCCCCCCGCTCCCATACGTGGGGGCCCCATACCACCCATGGGGGCCCCTGGAGGGGGGAAGCGTGGGGGCCCCCTTTCATCGCCATCAAAAGGGGGTCGAGGGGGGCCTCCTCCCATATCCCTGCGAGGTCTGCCTCGGGGCTCTCGTATTTTTGTGCAGTTGCCCATATGAGTCGACATTACTTCACCAGGGGGAGTATTCGCCACGATTTGAACTGCATATACACCGCATGAGAACATACACACGATGAAGATGAATAACGAACAGCAAACGCAACAACCGTAAGGAGGAATAAAACAATATACCTGCACAGCAGCATGCACACACCGCAGCTACTTGCAGCAGCAGGAGCAGCAGCAGAGGCAGAAGAGGGACTTACTTGCACGCATCGCAACTGCATGGTCTATGAACGCCGGCGCCTGGAAGGTGCTTTCTCGCAGCAGATCTGCAGCAGCAGCAGCAGCACACCGCAGCAGGGAAAAACAACCGCATTCGAACAGCAGCAAAAGCAGCAGCACTCACGTGCAGCATCTGATTTTCTACTAAGTGGTGTCTTGATGAACAGACAGCGAAACAAGTCCCTGCAAACGCAGAGTTCTATAGGGCTTCTAATGACTCCTTTCCACAATCTCAGATTGCTAAAAAGGCCTTTTGGTTTTCCCCCACTCAAGCCTTGAAAGGATACAGGAAGTGAATGAAACTTAAGAGCACAGGCATGCAAAAGGCATTCCTACGAACTCTGCGATTCTTTCTCCCAAAGGCGCCGAAGCCTTTAGGGCCCCCAGGCTATGCTACAGCCGCAGTGGTGCGCGTTTTGAAATATACATCCAAAGTTCAGCAAAGATTTCGAAATTACAGGGAACAGGGAGCTGAGCTGGGGTGTCCACACACTCTGAAAGTATTCAACTTTCTGGTTAATATGGCGACGGCCGCTTGCGTGCTGCCGCCGGCCAGCAGGGGAGGAGTGGGTGAGGTAAATGTCGCAATACTCGCAGTAGAACTTGGGCATTTTCAGAAAACAAGCAAAAGGATCATGAGAAACTTGCAAAAAAGATGAACAGAGGAGGAGGAGCCCCAGTGCAACCTCCTCCTTAACCGAAACGCGGCGGAATTGGCTCCGCGATCTGGCAGTTCTTTTGAAGAATTTTAGGACAAATCCACTCAAAATTACCAAAAAAAGAAGATTAAGAGGTGAACTCGCAATATTATCGCGCGATCGCGCCAAGTCAAGGACCGTTCAGAACCCAGAAACGCCTGTGGGTTCCACCGCGGTGCCGGTGTCGCTTGGACGCAGAAATAGGTTGCTGAGGTTCTTTTTCGCTTTATTTTATATTTTTCTATTTGTTCTTCTCTTCTTCTAAATTTCAAAGCACAAGACCCGCCAGGGTATCGCAGCCCCGCTCCGCAGCGGCTGCTGCCGTCGCATGCCCTTTGCCTCTCATTGATATACGTTTTGCAGACATATTTAATTGGTGGCCCAGACAGCTTTTTTTGTTATTTTTGCAAAAAGACATATTATTAAACAATTATTTGAAGGAACTAATAAACCCTAATTACTAGCCGTTTCGCCTAGGTGGCCCCCCAGCGCCACTGGGGGAGAGCGGTACCTCCGAAGATCTGCACAGCAAGGCAGAAGAAGCTCTGCCACTCGACAGCTGCTGCAGCGGGAGGTAGGAGGTGCTAGCGACTGCTTCTGATGCTGCTGATTCCCCCGCTGCCGCCACCACACACCCCACAAGACTCCATGTGTGGAGGTAGCAGTAGCAGCTAAAGAAGCAGCAGCAGCTAAAGAAGCAGCAGCAGCAGCAGCAAAAGCAGCAGCTGCAGCGATGACCTCTGCGCTTCACTTGCGCTGCCTCGTGTCTCCATGGGAGGCTGCAGCAACCTCCCTGCGGCGCCTACCAGCAACAGCAGCAGCAACACCGGGGCGTGCAGCAGCAGCAGCAGCAGCAGAATCACTAGAAGCTGCAGCGGCAGCATGCTATTCACAGTGTCTCCCTTCCCCCTTATCTTTTTCAACGCAGCGTCTGTCTTCGTTTGGCTGCAACACCAGTGTCGTCAGTAGCAGCAGCAGCAGCAGCCGTAGTCTGAACAATGAATTCCTCAGAAGCAGAAGCAACAGGAGGCGTTGGCTGGTGGAATGCGGGTGTTATCCTAGCAGCAGCAGCAGCAGCAGTTTGTTCTTGAGGAGCTTCCACAGCAGCATCAGCAGCCCGACTGGCCTGGCCAGCAGCAGCACGAGCAGCAATGTCAGGAGCAGCAACAGCGGCATCACCAGCAGCAGCGGCAACCGCCGCCGCATCATAACCAGCATGTGCCACAGCAGCAGCAGCAGCAGCAGCAGCATGAGCAGCTGCAGCAGCCGCATGAGCAGCACCAGAAGCAGCAGGAACAACAGCAGCATCAGCAGCATCAGCATGAACAGCAGCAGCATGAGCTACACCAGCAGCAGCATGAGCAGCAGCAGCAGCAGCATGAGCAGCAGCAGCACCAGCATGAGCAGCAGCAGCAGCAGCAGTAGTTGGTGGCGAATTGGGGGCATTCGTTTGTACAGAACTAGAATAAATTGGATGCGAGTCCGGTTTAGGGCCCGTGTTTCTTACTTCTTACGAAAAAGTTTAAAGCCTAAAAATCACTCGAAGGTCCTCACCAGATTCCGCTTAACTAGGTACTTCCTTTCATGCTGCTGCTGCTGCTGCAGATGCTGCTTCAGATGCTGCTGCAGATGCTGCTGCTGATGCTGCTGCTGCTGCTGCTGCTGATGATGATGATGATGATGATGATGATTATTATTATTATTATTATTATTATTATGCTTTGCATGCGCTCTTTGTTTGTTTGTTGGGTTTGTGTTTTCTTCTGCTTTTGCTTTTTGTTTCGTTGTGTTGTCGTTAGTCTCTTTGTTTCCTTTTTATTATTATCGGTTTCAGTTTGTTATAAACCCGGGGGCTTCTTACTCCTGCTGCTGCTTCTGCTGTTGCTGCTGCTGCTGCTGCTGCTGCTTCTGCTGCAGATTTGGGTGGGAGAGGCTGCGTAAAGGCCGCAACGGGAAGAAGTTTAACTTAGTAAGCAACAGCTAAAATAAAAAACAAATAACAAAGACAGACATATAATGACAGAGAAAAGACAGAGACAGATATATAAAGACAGAGAAAAAATAAATAAAAGACAAAGACAAAGATGAACAGATGAGCAACCAAAGACACAGCAGAGTTAAGAGCGAAAGAAAACAACAAAAAACACAAATAAATAATAGAGATGTATATATATATATAGATAGATATATAAAGAGAGAGAGAGAGAGAGAGAGAGAGACAGAGAGAGACAGAGAGAGAGACAGAGAGACAGACAGAGAGAGAGACAGAGAGAGAGAGAACAAATCGAAGCAAAGACAAACAGAGACAAATAGAAAGGCAAGCAGCAACAGCAGAGTTCAGCAGGTGTCTCCTAAGGCCCTGAAGAGCAGCTGCTGCAGCAGCGGCGGCGCTGCGAGGCTGATTTGCTGTTTTGTGGCTGTTAGTTTTTGTTTGTCTTTGTTTGTTTTGTTGCTGTTTGTTTGCTTTGTTTTCTTTGTGTTGTTTATTTATTGCATTTGTTTGACTTAGTATTTACCTTCTCCCTCCCTCTTAGGTTTTTCTGTTGTTTTGGGGTGTACAGACAGCTAAACAATTTAAACACAAATACAGCATTGCCTACGTCTCTCGCCACGACTTAAAGAAATTCAAATACCAAACCCCCGGATATAAACTCAGGTAAACCTGCTGCTGCTAGTTTGCTGCTGCTGCTAGTTTGCTGCTGCTGCTGGTTTGCTGCTGTTGCTGTGTTGCTGCTCGTGCTGTCGTCACTCATGCTGCTATTGTTGTTGTTGTTTACCCTGCTTCTGCTGCTGTTGGCGTTGCCGCTGCTGTTGCTATCGCGGCTGCTGCTGCATCTATTTCTGCTGCACTTGTTGCTGTTGCGGCTGCTGCAGGATACGAGACCCCCCAATAGACACAAACCCAAACATTCAGTCTATTAGAAAGCATCTGCCAGCCTACTTCGGATAGCTGCAGCTGCAGCAGTAGCTGCAGCAGCAACACTAGCTAGCAGCAGCAATAGTTGCTGCTGCAAGGCTAGCTAGCTAGCAGCACCAGCAGCTGTTGCTGCAAGGCTAGCTCGCTAGCAGCAGCAGCAGTTGTTGCTGCAAGGCTAGCTAGCTAGCAGCAGCAGCAGTTGTTGCTGCAAGGTTAGCTAGCTAGCAGCAGCAGCAGTTGCTGCTGCAAGGCTAGCTCGCTAGTAGCAGCAGCAAATGCAGTTGCTGCTGCTGGCAGATTTTATAAAGTAGAGACCTCTTCAGTTAAAAGACAAAATAATGTTGCTGTCCCTTTGTAGCAACACTCAATAAAAGAAATAGCAGTAGCAGCGGAAGGAGCAGCAGCAGCAGCAAATGCAGCAGCAGCAGCAGAACCGCAACACATTCTTCCTCTTCTACTCTAAAACCCTTCAGGCCCGAACTCGACCGCCTCCTGCCTCAGTGGCCTTCCTTATCTGCAGCAAGCAGCAGCAGCAGCAGCAGCAGCAGCAGCAGCGTTCGCACCACGTCTGCACGCAGCACGCA